CAAGAAAAACCAAAACTTAAAAGGAAAAGTAATGACAAGCAATACAGACATAATGCTAAAGTAATGGCTAAATTAGGAGATGTTAGCACGAGATCCAGTGAGAAATATTGACAATGTAGTTGGCCGGATGGCCGATCAAATTTTACATTCCAGAGCGAATGGAACTATTTCAAAGTTCAAAACACATATTTCAAGCTTACCAAGCTTTTCCTTTCCATGTAGCGGTGTATCTTTCGGAGTTAATAGATTTACATAAATCTGACACCGTTGTTTCAGCAGCGTTTTACACAATAAGGTGGTTACATGAAATAAACGATTTAATTGATCCTAAAAAGAATGTCATTGTGATTAGAATGCTTGAATGTGCAAAAAGAACAGGCTCAAAGCCTGTATAGAAGAAAGATGTTTTATTGCCGGAACATTTAGTGAAACTTTGTGACTTATTTTTCAACAACAAAATACATTATAGTTTTAAGAGACTTAACAATGATTCTTTTGTGTTTTGCTGCTTTCTTTAGATATAATGAAGTTAGTGATTTACGATGTTGTGATGTTAAGTTTTTTGCTGATTACATAGAGTTTTTTTTAAGAAAAGCAAAACAGATGTATATCGAGAAGGCAAGTACGTAGTAATTGCTAAAGGGGTCACTAGTGCGTGTCAGGTTGCTATGTTACAACGATACATGAATTGTGCCGGTTTGTGATCTAATTCGGTATTTGTATCGTCCAGCGTGCAGATCTGGTTCGAAATGTTTTCTTTTAAAGAAGACAAAAAGCTTAGTTACTCTCGCGCACGTGAATGTATTGTTAACAAGTTAAAATTAGTCGCACCAGATATGAATTTGGGTACGCATTCATTACGCGCAAGCGGAGCTTCCGCGGTCGCGAACGCAGAAGGTGTTTCAGAACGTTGCCTTAAGCGACATGGAAGATGGAAGTCTGAGTAAGCTAAAGATTCATACATAAAAGATTCTATTCAAAAGAGACTGTCTGTTTCTAAGACATTAATGTTATATACATATGTCTTATATACAAGTACACTATTAGATCTTTTTTTGTATTTGTTCTCGAATTTGAATATAAGCAAGTCTCAAACATTTGCATTTGTTCTATCGAAGTCTTACCCACTGCAATATTGTGTTATGTTATTTGTAAGTAGGCATGTTAAGACATGAAAGTTCTGTACGTTACATAGATAGTACAGCAGAACATATGTCTTAACATGGTGGGATTCACAAATGCGCGAGTCATTTGTGCATAACGGTCACGTGGTATTAGGCTGTATTTGGCGGTAAAATAGAGCGGGTTTTCATTCTAGTCTTGACTTCTGTTCTTTCAAGGCGCTAATTTTATTAAAATTCGAGAGCAATTCGTTCAGCAATTTTGATAAGTTGTTATGTATTTAAATGATGACATGTATATAAATACATACAGTCTAGTTTAAGCTGTAATATTTTGTTTTATGATACATTATTGTAATTAAGTACGAGCATCATCGTATGTAAGAAAAGTAGCCCTTTTAAACTAAATTTGCATCCTAGGACGTAGTCCGTAGATCCTTATTCGGAGGAATGGACGATTCAAATCGCTCAGCCAGGCGTTCTTTATATCTGGCGGTGCTTGGGTTGTGCGAATGAACTCATGCCTTAATGCCAGCGTTGACAGGTCGAAAGTTCATCGTGTAACGGACACACGCTTTTTTCCTCAAAAAAGAGGTTTCGGTTCGTGGACGGCTGCCATTCCGCAGATGAATATCCACCAGAATTGTGGTTTATGTTGTAGATGTTGTAAAAATAACCGCAGAGTGATTTGGAGCATGTAACATTAAATATCAAAATTTATTGAAGTATTAAATTTAATGCAAGTGCATTTATTGAGATATTCAATTCAATATGTATGTATATTCTTAAATGCATAATGTATTCCTCTAGCAATTAACTTGAATAAAGCCTATCGAAGTCTTGCCCACTGCAATATTGTGTTATGTTATTTGTGAGAAGGCATGCTAAGACAATAATTTCCCAGTCGTCTGCCGGTGCAAATATCTTTTAATTCGAGCAATTGATTGTCTTCAGGCCATACGTAGTAAATTATAACGAATTCATTCTTAAGACTAAGACGAAATCCCTTGCTATTCTAATCTTTTAAATACGGATGGTTTTACCGAGTTATTACTTTATTTAACCTTATTCATTTATATATACATGTATATGCATTTAATAAAAGAGAAAATGATGTCTATCCAAGTCTAAATTAGGCCATCAGCTTGTCTTGCCAGAGATATAGTCTTGGAGTCTTAAAACAACTTAAACATTGATTATGCCATTATTCATTCCATTCTCAGTACCTTCATCAACCCGTCTTTCCGTGATTTGACAAATGAAAGATTGACAATTCCATGCTTCTTTTTGTCAAATGATTTCTGGAAGGGTAACAATAATATAGCCTTATCAATCCTTTCCTCAGTCGGTCCAAGAAAAAATGACAATGGATCATATCAACAAACTCTATATCCACTCCGTATAAAAAGAAAAATGTACATAGCTCTTAATACAACAGAATGATATAATTTTGGAAATGAACATTCAGTTCAGTATAACCACTTCGTCCGCCTAAATTGATACGTTGAGGTTTTTACATTACTGTATATTTACCTACTCAATTTCTTACGTATTTATTCATCTATTTATCAGAAATGAGCCTTATCTGCACATGCAACAACATAACAATTTAGAAAAAACCCATCAGAAATTTGATGACAGGTCATACGTCCGTTTTGATATAAGAATCGTAATTTATTTACGTTTTAATAATAAATTTCTAAATGGTAAAATTGCTTTATACAATCGGTCGGCCTGTTTGTCCTTGCAAACAGATTCCGAACAGATAAAACAATAATATCTAGAAATGATCATTCAGTCCATTTAGTAGATCATTTGCCTGTCTAGAAACACAAATTATTTTTTCATTTATAAACTTTTTATGAAGTATTAATTTTTATTGTTTTAGCCTTTATCAATTTTTTGAAAAAGGTTACTATTGAAATGGCGTCATCCACCCTTCTTTCAGATAGTATGGTCAATAACAAAAGGTTTAAAGCAATCTAATTTTGACAGACATTATTTCCTATTCATAACATAACTCTTGAACGGTTTAATTCAAATCGCTTTGACCACACTTTCTTCAGGCAGTCCATCAGACTTTTTGTCAGTAAGCTCATATACGGTAAACAAAAGGTGGTTTTCACTCACTCTAAGCAACCTACACAAGACCATGGTCAATACATTACATTAGAAAGAGTATCTTTGAAAGCCATAAAAGATGTTGGAACAAAATATCTTAACAATGTTTGCGCAACGGATAGACATCAAATTAAGTAAGGGCAGATCATTAAATTATTTATGATTGATTAATAGACTATTATCATTGCCAATCTGTTCCATAAAAATACTGGCTTGAAATTCTGTTCCGGATAAAAGCCCGAGTATATTATCAATATATGTATGCCAAAATGCCACAAACTCTTGGTCTCATGTATTTTAGCCAAAAAAGTTTTTATTCTAAAAACATTTTTACTGATTAATTTTGTGCTCCGTTATGAGATTTTACAATACAAGATAAGTGTTGTCTAAATCATAGAGTACAACATAGCAAATCGTTCATGTCCATGCTTAAAACTAAAAGTAAGTGCGTAAATAGTAGGATTCTTTGTTTAGTTGTTATAATGGTACTAACTATGAAATAAGTTGGAGTGTTGGTAACAACATTTGACAATTCCGAACCGTTTGTTGGGTTATGCTTGAAGAGTTATTAATATATTAGCAAAATTAAGAGTATTATGTTTTAAATTTAGAGATTTTCATGAAAAATTTATTTCTAAAAATATTTGGTTCTCCTTTGTTATAGCAACTAAATAAAGGAAATGAGTCGTACATCATAAAATGAATCGGACTGTTAATCCAAACAATACTAAATGAAATGACATTTCATTACCCTAAACAAGCCTCGAAATTTTTATTTTGTAATATATTTTATCATGCAATAGCCATGGCATTTGCCTGAAAACACTTGCTTGCTCATTCATACCAGGTACGTTACTCATACAGAAAAAAATCCAAGTCGACAATGGACATTTTTGATAGTTTATATTCCCATTTTTACCTACCATGATATTTCGTCTTCACATAGATATGATAAAATATTTTTCATCAATGTCTATACCACATAAGAGATATAACAAACAGGCTAGATCGCTTTTATTCGGATTCTGTCAATGTTTACTTTATTTCGCAAGATGGTCAGTATAATGTCTTGTCATTAACCAGTTATTAGAAGTTTGCTTTTATTACGTTGCAATCAAGGGACCACTTTCTCCAAGAACGTTTTGTTTTTAATCTAAAAATTAGTTTATTTTTTTTTTGATATTTGAAGTTTGTGAGTGAAGGTTAACAAGGAAACGCTGTCGCCAAAACATATCTATGCAATGGTGGCAGTCATGGCATTAAGGAGGTAAAAGACTTAACACAGGTGATACTAGCAATTTACCCTTCAAATGAACATGACAATTAATCTCTACATCATCAAATGCCTTTGTAAGGCATCTTTCAGATATATTGTACATAAATGCCGGCTTGGGATGTCAAAGGTCTGGTCAAATATCAGTTTTAACATCTGAAAACTATAAAAGTATCTTGCTATAGTGATACGGACATTTGTTCTCAAGACATTAGCCATGATACGCAAAGTTACGACCATGTTCAGTTAAATATTTTTTCGAAGTACTTGCCACAATTTTAAAGACGATCCACAAACAGAAATATTTTAAACACGCTTTTGATTTTTAGGTATTTTTCACAATGAAGATGTGTATTCTGGAAACACGAAAAAAGTTATTAGCATAAAATGTCATCAAATGGTTTAAATTATTTTTTTAAAAACTCAGTACATGTTCTATCAAAATACTAAATTGTGTTCATTTAGCAAACAGTTTACTTGTCAGCGGCTCCCCCCTTAAAAAAATCTTTAAAATATTGTGATGAGCTTCTTGTTGAACGTTAGAACAGCCTTATTGTTTGCCGGTCTGGCTTCAGTTTTCTTGCAAGTTGTTAAAGCTAAGGGACAAATACTGAATATGGTAGGTCTAGTTTTTCATTTAAATTTTTAATCAACGAAACAAAGTTCGTTTATCTGTTATTAAATCAAAATAATGGCATAAAAACATAGGACGTTTAAACATTATAGTAAAAAGCAATGATTAAAATCAAATTCTTACCAGTATTAGCCTAACCTATATGACTTAAACGTATTATTCATAATTAAAAGCATCACCACCGTATGAGAGTGTCGTTTTCTAACTTGATGCATCTAACTTGATGAATGATCTATTGGTAGAAAATAGGAATTCAAAACGCCGTTAAGATTCCATTTTGAGTCTATACCATTTCTGACAGTTTGGACAGCTTTGTTTACAATTTTTCTCAACTCGTTACTGTAAACATTATTGATTGTCATCCATTGTGGAATAATCCTTTTAAATGATCTCGTGACATTACTAGTCACACAGTATAAGGAATGGTATTGAATTGTGATGTTTAAAAATACCATCAAATGAGACAATTCAAGAAATGTGTTATCTAACAGTCTTTCATAAACAAGCACATATTTCGATTTACTTTTGTTTCCTATCCAATACAGAGCCATTTTCATCCATTTATTGACTTCCTTGGGTACAAATTTACTCCATCCTTAAAAAAGAAAAGAAAATTGATGACATAACATTCATACAAACATCTAAAAATAAAAAAAAATCTTTCTAATTGTGCTGCTTATCTGCTAAAACCTCCGGAAAGAAAGACAATATATTAAAATGATCAAGAGGAAAGAACAGGATTCCTTAATTAAGCGATACGCGATAAATTAATTTGTTGCAGGTCCTGGTCATAGATATTATTGGTATATACAAGCTACTGTACACGCACCTCAACGTTTATGTTAGCATAATTCAACAATAAAACTTTTACACTTGTTAGATTTTTAATCTTAGTAAAAATCAACAAAGGTAAATTATACAAACCTCGTGATTTTGTCACTGAACGCAAAGAAGAAAAAAAAACTGTCAAACTGTTACACTGTCAATAAACACTGGTGAGGATACTTGTATTTTGAATACTAATATGAATGGGATGGTGATACCTTAATGTCTGCCCTGATTGTGAAAGTACGATATCGAGATCCGATTTATATTTGTTTCTTTCTGACTGACACATAGTTTAATAAAACTATTTGTCCTAAGTTTTAATAATCTATAACTTTAATTACAGACATTTATAATTCAATCTAACTTTAGACCAAATATTCAGTATACAAATTGTTGGATACGTCTGCATGATATTGTGTCATATGAAATAAATACCAAATTAACTGTGACCAGGAATTTTCATGATAAACTTGGTTTATTCTAAATTCATTCATTAATTCATCACATAATGTCTTGTTTGTCATGACCTCTCATCAAATACAAAACTATAAGGGTATTGAAAGTTCAATTAAAAATAAACATTACAGATATACTATAATCATCTTTGGATAAACGATTTTATTGTAGTTTATTAAAACCTAGTACATTCTCCCTGATTATGTACAATTTGAATACTTGAATGTATAAATTATGTTTTAGAAGCTACATTCCCTACTTAAATATAAAACACAACTTACTTTCTGCTGTGAACATTTGTTTAGATGCAACCCATTGTCGTGGGCTTAATGGTGCATTCTTAGGTGATCTTACTCTATTTTGTCTGTTAAATTCTGCAAGAATGGCATAATATGGATTTCGTAGAATACATATAAAACTAGCAAAGTGAAGTGTAGATATAGAAAGGCTCGTACAGTCCCTATGGCTGGTCGAACTGTTGGATGTTTTGTGTGTTTTTACAATGAATACCCTTCCTCGACTTGGGCACTCTTTTGATCCGACAAAGTTCCAGTCTGTATATACACTGCCTGTAAAATATCCTGTAAATATATAAGGACAACATACTATATATGCTTATTAACCGTGACAGCATTTTAATGAATATTCATTATAAATAATATAACAACAATCTATATAACATATTTGCTATACTTATAGCTATTTATAAGTTATAGTTATAAATTTTGACTGGTTCAAGTATGATATGAATGTTCGTCCCAAAATATAGAAAAAAAAGAAAAACAAACAAACAAATTCTTTGAGAACGCCATAAAACGACAAAAAGGAAAACAAATTTTGAATGCTCGGTTTGATTGAGCCGTTACATGCAAAGTGCTAATTACTGTCCACGCCCGTAGCAACGGTTGTTAAACACCTAAACAGGAATGTGGTGAAATTTTGAATTTAGAAACATCCGCAGGTATGTTAATATAAAAGTTGTTTACAATTTCCATAACAGGCAGCGTATGGTTCCCAAGTAAAGGAAAGCGTGTGCCCTAAACGAGAAACAATGGGGAAAACTAAACATTATGGTGCTTATAATGAAGCATGCATATCACAGATACGACGTCAATAGACAAGTTTAAAAATCTGGAAAAAAGTTGATTTGTGTGTCATATTTTGAAATTGTACAAGAACAGTTTTTTCCATTTATCTTGTTTTTCATATATGAAATACAATCATTTAATTTAACACGCTGTTGTTACATATATTCAACATAACATATTCAATTTTTATAATTATTCAATTCTAAAACAGTAATGTAAACACACACGACATGTACACACACGCACACAACTGCTTACGCACACACAAACACACACACGTACACGCACACACGCACACACAAACACACACGCTCTCTATTGCTCAAATTAATTTTGTCCCCTTTTTGTTTAGTGCTTAATACAATCATATTATTTATCTAATAATTATGGTTTTTAGCATAATTCTACTCTTGATTTACTCCACAATTCTTATGTTACAGAGGATTTTTATATGCCCGAGGTCAAGGTCACTATCACTTAAAACTGAAAACAGTTTCCGGAGCATAACTTAAGTTCCGTTTGGCCCACAATATTCAAACTTCATAGGATGATTGTCCATATTAGGTAGAAGACCCCTATTGATTTTGGTGTCACAAGATCAAAGGTCAAGGTCACTTTTACCTTAAAAATAAAAACAGTTTCCGGAACATAACACAAGTTCCATTTGGCCCACAATATTCAAACTTCATAAGATGATTGTCCATATTAGGTAGAAGACCCCTATAAATGTAGGGGTCACAAGGTCGAAGGTCAAGGTCACTATTACCTCAAAACTGTAAACAGTTTCCAGAGCGTAACTTAAGTTCCATTTGGCCCACAATATTCAAACTTCATAGGATGATTGTCCATATTGGGTAGAAGGCCCCTATTAATTTTGGGGTCACAAGGTTGAAGGTCAAGGTCACTATTACCTCAAAACTGTAAACAGTTTCCAGAGCGTAACTTAAGTTCCATTTGGCCCACAATATTCAAATTCAAACTTCATAGGATGATTGTCCATATTGAGTAGAAGACCCCTATCAATTTTGGGGTCACAAGATCAAAGGTCAAGGTCACTATTTCTTAAAACTGAAAACTGAAAACAGTGTTCGGAGCATAAATTAAGGTCTATTTGGCCCACAATATTCAAACTTCATAAGATGATTGTCTATAGTAGGTAGTTCATCCTTACAAAAAAAAAACCACTTCTTTCGGGGGCATATGATGCTCCGCCTAGCGGTGCTCTTGTTTCTTATGCGCTTCCAATATATCTTTAGATAATGCAATTTGTTCTTCTCTTTGTATTCTACTGTATAATTGTTTTCTAAATATTTCAAAACTTGGTGAATATTGATTGAAAAAATGTAATATTTAATAAGATGAGAATGAAATTAATTATGTCACTATGTAGATGAACTTTTAAGTTCTCCAAAGAATAATATTTCTTTCGAAAGATTTAAGATAATTCCAATTCTGTTTAGCCGCGTGTGTAGCTTTGACAATATATTTTGTATTTTTGTACATTCCAAGAATAGATGGTCAATATTTTCAATGCTGTTATTTCCTGTTCTATAATCATATAAGTGTTCTATGAATTGTATTCCTTTAATAAACCAATTTTCACAGAATACAAGTTTGCCATCTATTTTCATATCCGAGTAATTTCAAATAATGTCTTTATAAGAGATATTGTTTGTTAACTTAAAGCATGTACTTTTTATTTCAATCCATGCATTAAGCATATTATTATAAGTTTTTGTGTGGAAATATGTTATCAGCATCTTGTTTTGAAATGTTATATTCAAACATGAGTTCATTATCATACATTAACAAATATTTGCATAAGCTATGGTTTTCTTTATTTAAATATCTTTTGAACCAACTTGCTTTTATATGTTTTAGAAAGTATGAAATGTCTGTTAGTTTACATGGTTTAAGTCCCCCATTCTTTTATATTCTGCGTAATAATATTTTGTTTAATTTCATCTGTTTTTCCTTCCCAAATGAAATCTTGCATTTTCAATTTCGAAAGCTTCGAAATAGCTTATTTTGTAAAATTTCTATAGAATAATTTTTCTTCTCTGAGAACTTCTTCTTTGTCAGTTATTTCTTTTGTATCTCTAATAAGTTTATGTAAGATTTTCCTTTAAGCATGTTTTCTCGAGATTTGCGAAGTCCTTACTGTTTTTTTTTCATATGAATAGTTTTAGCCCTTAATATTCGTCTCTTAATATTGAATTATTGAGTTTAAAATGGCCTGGTCCCCTTTCTATAACTTTATTATCAATTAAAATTTTTACTAATAGATCGTCAGTTTTATATTTTTGATTTTGTAATTATATCAGTGAGGTTTTCTGATATTAAAAGTAGTTTACTCGACAGAATATGCATGCTTAACTATTTGAACGTCATGTATATTGTATATGTATATCGAATAGTTTACATGAAACTATTAATATTTTTATATTAATATTTTTATATTTTTTCTACATTTTTAGGAGTATCATATCGTCCATTTTGTATCTTCTTTTGCATCTATAACTGTATTAAAATAGCAATCGGCGAATATGTTTTTATCAGTATTCTGTAAAAGAAATGTTTCAAATGTTGCAAATAAACTGATATTACCATCATTTGGACCATATATATTTAATAAAGTAAAATATTTTCTTTTAAAGTTATGTCAATTGATTCCAATGATAAACTCATTTGTATTTGCTATTTTTATGTTAGTATTTGTTTTCACAAGAATCGCTACTCCTTCCTTATTTGTTTTATTTCCTTAAAAATATGATTCATCTTTCCAATCCTTTTTCCAGATTTCGTAATAATTATAATTAGAATATGTCTCTTGCATTATATAAAGAGGACATGGATGGGAGTCTGACAATTTATAAAATTGTTGTATTTTTTTGTTTATTTCCTAATCCTCTAACATTTAGTGGAGAAATAACTGTTTTCATTGAGATTGTAGATATAAACACTTTCCAAAATGCGTTTTTAAACCATACCATAAAATATTGATTAATTTCAAAGCTCATTAAGTGGACAAAAATCAAAAAGTCAAAATCAAAAGGTACAAAAAGGTAATGGATCCTTCAAAAAAGTCAGCAATGATCATACTTTTTGAAAAGTTGACAGGCATTAATGCTTTCTCATTCATTCACACTACTTACACAACTAATTCGCTGTAAATACATAACAAAAATGATACAAGAAAACATGAGAACAATAGTTTCAATTCTCTATATAATGAATAAAAATGCATATTTAAATTCGAAGAATATCCATTACAAAAGCTCAGACACTCCCGGATTACCAATATTAATGCTATAAAATATGTATTTATAAAGTCGATTTTATACGATTTAACCTCCCAATTTATACAATTTCATAAGTAAAACATTCAAATACTTATACACATACATACTTATCAATCACGATGTATAGTAATAATAGTAACACCGGTTTCAATTATCAATCAATTTATGCACAAAAACACCATATTTTATACTACATGGTTAACATGTTGCTTGTATAAACAAACATGTCAATCATAATCGTTATCCATTTTATTTGTTAATCGCTTTGCAATACACAAACTACTTGACCTATACATGTTTACTTTAATATGTACATTTTAGAACTATACCCTACCAATCTCACGCGGTATATGCTTGTTTAAATATTGTTATATCATGTTAGAATTAAAAAAAAAAAAAAGAAACAAGAAAAAAAAACACTATTATATCGTTTAATGTGAAAATCAAATTTAACCCCACAGGAGAAGGTTCAAATTTTAGATGGATATAAGTTATTTCAGTTAAGTCAAATCTCATTCATGAGTATTGTAAAAAACATGTCATGTTGGCATATATTCTAATTATCATACAAAAATAGACTATAAAACTGTTGAATATAACCACACGATATTCACGCAAAATATTACCATGTGCAATTTATTTTGATACAGTTCACTTCAAAAACGGTTTCGGACCATTTTTTTTGTCTCAATAAATTGTGTTGAGTTTTGCCTTTGGCATGGTTAGCCACATGTCGAAGTCACTATGATGAACTCTATGAACGTGAACGTTTCCTACTTTATTTTTTGTTCAATGTATACGTATATGTACAAGAAAAGTGAAAACAGATCTAATTGTAAAGTAAACAGTTGATATATTCTATTATATTTGTAGCACCATTTTAAAATAAATAAACAATTTTTTATATTACGTCTTTGTAGTGCATGCTGCACACATAATTAACTAGTGGAACGCTCCTCATCCCTGTCTAATTTAAATCAATGTTAAAGATGTAAGATGTATTAACTGCATTTAAATCTGTCAAGAATAAAATAATTATTGATGTTACCTGTTGTTGTCTCTATCAATTGTCGCGTCCAGGTATTCCCTGACCCTGGATAGCTTGCCAAGGCAACAAGTGATCTTGGAGCGCTGAGAAACCGAAGCGATTTCGAGCAATTGAAATTCATTAAACTATGTTTAAGAAAATCATAGTTTGATTTGCTTCCCTTTAAATAAACACCGTTTTTAAAACAAACATAAATTAGTTTAAGCAAAGCCCATTTTTTGACGATTTTGTATTGGTTTACATTAACGGCTCGACTACAGCCTCCAAATGTCATTATTGTGTCTTTCTTTACAAAAAGATAATGTAAGCACAGGATGCAAACAATCACAAATAGAAGCATTGATGCTATTTTTTTATTCATTTCCTTACGAATTGTAATACCGAATAATGTGATGATTTAATAATTAAATGTTTTCTAATTAAAAAACTATGTTATTCTGTTATTCTCAAATAGAACTATAAAATTTCATTAAAAACATTAAGAGTAGCTATATTTTTAAGTGTCCTTTAACGAGAAGAAGAGGGAAATAATCCAGGATCTGAATATCAAACTACAAAAGAAAAACAACAACAACTACTACAAAAATATTTTAAATGTTTGAAATCATTCCAATTAATAAATTACAAAAGTTTCTTTGAATTTTTCATTCACCTATTGTTTTGTAAATGATACACAGGAATATTAACCATTCATCTGTTCGGTAATAGCCACGTTGCGCAATGTTATTCAGACAATATGTCGACGTTTCCGATTGTGTATGAGAAAATTTATACATTAAATTAACTTTCACAAACAAATGCATTAAGAAACCACCGAATCTGTAATTTGCGTCTGTGAAAGGAATGCTCATAAAATATTCAAAGATATGAATGTGAAATTTACATTTCTTGTTTACTAGATATTTTAGTTTTTTGTTCAACAAAAAAATGTTTTTAACAAACAAAAATATGCATCTGTATGTATTTCAAACTTGATCACAATCGTTCGTCAATAGTGTTCCGAAGATAATTCATAGAATAGTTAAAATATCGCATTTAAACCTGTTTTCCTACAAGAGCTTTATCAAATCATTTACGGGTGAATTAATAATTCAGACCACACATTGTTCCAACTTAAAGTGATAAACAATACGAATTGATCTTGCTTTTAATATTATGGCTTGAAAGCTATTTAACAAAGAAAAGAACTTAATGTTACAAGCTCAGTTTGATTGAGCCTTTCCATAAACGGTGTTTAACACTTGCAGGAGCAAATGATGAATAGAGATACTCGTCTGTCATTTTTATTTTAAAACGCATCGATTTTGATTGATGATAACCAAAATTAGAGATGAAATTCAATAAATTGTTCGCATTTTTAGTTATGTTCGTCACATGTACTTACATAATCCAGTATGTTATGAGCAACCAAGAAGTTTTTTTTTATTTCTGCTAATCATTACGTTTCCAACAAAAAAGTTATGACAATGTTTCGAAGCGACCATGTAAAAAAAGGAGCAAGACGTTTTTTATTCTTTTTTATCATATGATTTATATGCGGTCAACAATATTTTTGTTAGGTAGGTGAACATCCAATTTTACTCTTCGTCATAGATGTGTTATGTAGATATCTTTTGTGATGGGGGACATTTTATAGAGAGTCAAAAAATACAAATAATCAGCCGATTATTCAAATCATTATTGAGCTACAGGCATTTTCGTGTTTATGCACATAATACAAATAAATTTGTCAAGGTCAAAGAATGTCTTTTACTTGCTTGTAGAGAGACGGTCACTTACCCACGACATATTTGTTTGATCAAAAATTGATTTGCCATTGACAATGGTATTGAGTCAGACCAGATTATATGTCCATGCTGTCTGAGTAAGCTGCTCAAGTTTTGTAATCTGATAGTGGAATTAATAAACTTTGAAAACATTGCTCGAATTTCAAACAAGGTCAGATGAATTATACCGTATAATAATTTATGTAATTTCTAATAGTAGGCTATTCCTTTATTCTTAAGTATGACAATGACAAGAAGGGAGATCTGAGCGTATATGTAAGTTATGTAAAGTTTCGTTAGAAACAGAATACCATTTCGTAATGATATGTACGGCTTATGAACACTTAAGATCAAAATACTTACCAAGCAAATATTTTGTTAATCCAAATATTCATAAATTTAATATCTTAATGAGATGTCAGGCTGAAGATATTATACATAATTTGGCAAAGTTTGTGTTCCATGCCTCTGAAGAAAGAAAAGGATAATAAAGTGTAAGAACATAAATATGATAATGCACACACACTTTATTTTACAAACACAATCTTGTTTGAATAGCTGAAAATAATGATCACTTTACAAGCTATTGTAATTGAAGAAATTGTGAAAACTTCTGAAGGATTGAAATGACTATAAAAGCTACTCTCCTGCTCGAAACTGGTCTAAACCATCAAACTGTTATTACAGACATACAACAAAAAACATAACATTGTGATGTTAAAGTGTTCGCGTTATTCGTGTTTTACTTCTTTTCCGCATTGTGCCTTTTCTTTATTAGGGTAAACTTTTGATAGTTCAACGGAGAAAAAAAAACTTGAATAGGCATCTTCATTCGGTGTTTCGATATGAATTATCAAAGATCAAAATCAAACGTAATAACGCTTGGGCTAAAACCGCCGTAAAATGACTGTATGGGTCAGTAGTCATTATATAAAGTACATACCCTCTGTTCTTATTTGAGTGTTATGTTGAAAAAAAAAATTAACCACATAGAGGGTTTTAATATTCATTTATTTTAGTTTTATTTTGGAAATGACTAAGCATGTCATTTAATATTGATCCAATTCATTAAAACATTTCACAAAGTATCATTATACTTCATATCGCTTGATCAGAGCTTAAACGAACTATTTTGAATTGAAATGAATATTTGTCATTGAAGCGGCGGGCACATTCAAATAATGAAGATAACAAAACTGTAAATAGTGGGATAGAAATATGAAAAGAACAAAACAATTACATGATGAAATAAAATAAAAAATAAAACACAAAATATTCAATAAGAATTTTTGAACAATGTTTCTTCTAGAAAACCTATAAGATTGCTACACTGTTTTAATTTTTAGATATTTTAAAGGAAATTGTTAAAATATGACAGTCAGAGTCACAATTGACTAGTTCTTTTATTAAATATTTCTAGAATAACTTTAAATATATTTCTTTTAAGATAAGCACTGTATTTCCTTGCACAAGAATGCAGTACCTTCTTCGGTTCCTGTAAAGTGTAGAATGTACTTAACCTTCTGTAGTGATGCAATAACGCTTCTTCTGGCTTAAAAGTGTATTCACCACCATTTTGAATCTCCCATGCATAATGGACACCCATTACAATTAATTCGCTAGTTTTGCCTATGTACTTGGATCTCACATGACGTCGTAGAATTATATTGTCTCGTACGTTGTACGAATCAATTGTCATTCTATGTTTACATAATTGTTGTTTAGAGCAGCTAAAAAACGAGCTTCGAACAATGTACACGCTATATAGCGGAAGATCATCCATCATATCGGACCACGTGAAGTGCTCCGGTTTTTGTGGAATGATAAACTCATCTAAGTCGGTGGATGATAGATATATACTTTTGCCCTTGTTTCTATAAAGGCAGTCATTAAGTGCAGCAAGCTGTCCATAATAATGCACATCATCCTCTAAATATTTTGGAATATTCCAAGTTATTAATTGTACAATTTCTTTGCGCTTGTAATATTCTAGGACACTTGATACATTTTGCGAAATACTGTTTATATAAAATATAAATCTTTCTACTCCAAGAAGCCAATTAAGTTCAATCCATTCTATTAGTTGTGTCGTATCATTGAACATTGAATGTAACGGTGAAACACACATACTAAACTTGAGCTTAGGAAAATGTTGAGTAGTTTTTACCACTGTAACTTCATGAGGAAGATGTAGCAATGATTTCTCGTAATATAACGAAACTGTATCCGGAGCATCTCTCCCCGTCATATTGCATAGAATGAACATTGCGGTGTACCTGGGATAAATAAAGCACAGCGTGATATACATATTTTTTATATCATAACTGCCGTGCCATGCCAGGTTTTGGGAAATTCAATCTAAAATTTTGCGCTTTAAAAAAGAAACTTTATATATTTTTTTAAATTGATTAAGATATTTAAATATTAATCTGAATCGTCTTTCTATCATTACCATTAATTTACTTTTATTGTTTTGGTAAAAATGCATGAATGTTTTTGCCATGGCAAATTGAAATTTGACCATACCAAATTGTTATCTTACCATGAGAAAATACTATATCATTTAACCTTGACAACTGTTGTTTTGTTAATTTGTCATGGCAAACTTTAAAAAAAAAATGACAGGAATCGTAATGATTTTTTAACATGCTTATAAGTGTCCAATTTGTTTTTAAATTTCTATTGTCTATGCCAGTCCTTTGCAAAACTTTGTAACGGCAATATATCATACATATGATTATCATCAATATTATTAGGATCATCATCATTGCCGATGTGATCGTTATTTTCTTCATCATCACCATCATCATCATCATCATCACTTGTCTCTAACTGATGATTCAGAATTCACGTTGGAGTAATAGTTAATAACTGGTGCAGAAGTTTGTTATACGTGTTATCTAAAGAAGAATATCAGTTTGGTTAACTGACCATAATGTGTTTAAATCGATGTAAAATAACATGTAAAACACAAACAAACAAACAAACAAACAAACAACGAACAATCATCCTCACACAATTGTCATCACCATCCAAATCGGTATTTAACAATCATAGCAATCATAACCAGTTCCTTTCTATGATAGTATAAATCCTAATGTCAAAAAGACGATATTATCTTCTACACCACCATCATTAGCCTCATCAACATATTTTTTATATTCTTTAAAATCATAATCGTCATCAACACTATTGCAATAATCGTTATCATCATCAACTTTATTATAATAATCATCAACATCAACAGTTTTCCCACAATCATCATCACAACATCATTATCTCAATTTACATCAAATACATCAACACCGTTACCATTACTGTACACGTTCCATTTCGTCATCATCTTTTACTTAAATAGGGACATAAAATTTCTTTATCGTCCGATTAGATATAACCCATAATTGTTACAAGTATTATTATTTTACATTATTTCCTGGTCGAGTGTTCGTCTGCCGTTATCATTCTTACGTGATCAGTTACGGTAGAGTATTCAGTTAGCTGCTGAGGGAGCGTTGTTTTTGTTATATTATATAATATAATATACTCATTTTATTTGCTTCTTATGCGCATGTACCAGTTAATCTACTAAGAGCACAGAACTAACTATTGCTATGAATAGTAATGTAGTATAAAAAGTATCCTTGTTTGGCATAAAGCTGGTCTGTTTTTTCCCTAAAAATGATCCCTAATGTCAGAATGAATAGGCATAATATTTCATATTCATATAGTCGTCTTCCATGTTAATTATAGAATAAAGTATTTTGATTACGGAAAAAAAATAACACACGTACCAAGTCGTCTGTAAACTACAAGTTGATATGCATACAGTTTTCTAGGTCTTTAAATAATATTGTGAACACATTAAAAGTGTAATGGTGAGTGTACGATAAAACCTCAAAATAACTTTATAATTTTTAATCATTGTTCCTAATATTCTTCTTCAGATTTAAAATAAAAACCACACGTGTCTCACGTAAAGTACTATTAAGGCAATTTTTATATCATATATCAATGATTTTCAACTATTTGTGAATGACCATTACAAAAGACAATTTTTCGTAAGGGCGTCGCTTCAAGGCGACAAAGAAAGCGACCGCTGTGTCAGTCCTTCTTACGATAATAAGAATAGATTTTCGACACGAACAACAAAAATCTGTTACTTATGTCTAAGTCGAATTTGACATAAAGTCCTTCCACAGTCTTAATGATATAGAAAATGAGCTAATAAAAGCGAATAAAACTAATACATTCCAATTGCCGCCTAATGCCGGATATTAAGCCGCCTATAAAATAAGTACAAGTTATAAACACTTTATTAATGTGAATCTGTTTAACCTCTTAACAAGGAATCCAACAATCTTTTTCAATTACTCACATGATGATATTGTGATTTGTTTTTTTGTTTTTTTCTGCTGTTGTGACTATTGTACCAACTTGCCTTATTCCATTATTACATTTATTGGTTTGTTAACTCTATTGCTGATTAGTTAATCGTAAACAAATATGCACTATTGTGTTTAAAAAATGTTTTTTTTTTTATTATAAATAAGTAAACAACAAGAACTGATTAGAATTATCTTTGTATTTGTAACAATATTTAGACATTACGAACATATCTTTGCTATTCGTAAAATATCACAGTTTGTCCCGTTTATCACTTAATGTACTTCGCACCAATATTTCGAACTAGAATGTCTTGATGATTGATTTTATAACCTTTTATAAATGATAATTAAACATGACTCCTTTTTATGATAAAAATATAGATGAAAGCTGCGGACAACAAGTGTCTGTTCCGCTGCCAAAAACGATCAGATGGACTATATAATAAAGAGGCATGTAACTGTTATCAAAATAATTCAAAAGTTTGATCGAATCATTTTCTTTCATTTGCGACCAATCAAATGACGAAGAACATAAGAATGATTATATATCAAACCAAGCATTGACTATATGTTTACAGATTGTTTTAACTGAATCATCGGTGAATAAGTAACTGATGATAATCATTTTCTATAGAAAATTACCTATGGCAAATTAAGTCGCCGTGGCAAATGCAAACTTTGTTCATATTTAAGAAAAAAGAACGATAGAAAAACGAAACACATCAACTTTTAAACCTTTCAAATTATGTCAGAATTTTAGACAGATTTTCTGTTAAAGCGCCTAAAATTTGGGTTGAATTTGCCAACAACTGGTATGTCAAAAAGAAACCGGCAGTCATTATTGGGCATATAATTAGGTAACAAATATAGCAATTGGTATGCATACTTATTAGGTACACGTATAAGTCTAGTCAATAACATTCATTGATAAATAGTTTCAGCTTCACAAATAGCCTTACTTTCTTTACCCCAGAGATGTGTCGTTCATTTACTAGGTGTCTCATATTTGTTAATGATGTTATTTCATGAAAAATATATTTGTTTAGCTGTTTCAAAAATATTTCTTTTCACATAGATCTCATTAATATAATTTTCCATGACTTCGCTCCTCCTAAGTAAATTTGTGCAGCCTTATTAAAGGCTCGCTTAAATAGTAAAGACAAAAATGAATAAAGCTGCTCCTGTTACAAAATAATTGTATGAAATTATTTAAAAAAAAAACTTTAAAAGTTTTTGCTTTTTTTTTTTACCTCTTCCTGTGATGTTCGGGTATACGTTTAATTTTTCCATCGGTGAACAGAAATGCATTAGTATGTTTATAATGAAGGATACACCGCACATTGGAGTTGTTTCTCAGTCTTGTTATACCAATCACTCGCAAAATGTATGGCCTAAAAGGGTTGAAAAAAATAAATATCTAGAGAGAAGTTATTGCACGGAAGCATTAATAACAGCAAAATTACATTAAAGTTGCATGCATACTCGGTTTGATGGAGTCCGTACATGAGGGATACTGTAAACACTCACAAGACCTGCACCGCCGGTTTAAGTTATACTTAATTTAAAACACTTAAAACAGCGGAAATCAATATTGATCCCGGAGAACCTGAAAATAATATAACAAAACCGAAGTGAAGTACGGGAAACTATTGATTGATTTTTGTGTGTGTATATATCATATTACGATACATTAAAATTAATTTATCACAGATATATATATCACATTGTTTGTAACACCATTATTAATTGAAAAATGATAACTTTACATTCATAATTAAATCAAAGATCGTGTTGACTTCAAGACAATATTTACAACACAGGATAACCCATGAAAGTTCATTATTAAATAAAGAACTTACTTCCAATGGGGTCCTTTGATGGAAACATATATATTTTCTTGAGAACTGACTTTCAAGTCCATTCTTAAAGATGATATACTGGACTGATGTTATATTTCTAAGATCAAATAATATTAATTTCTATTGCACATTATGTTAATTACATATATCACATATAACAGGAATAATACTATGAATATGACTAGTTATCACACCAATGAAAGATATCTATTTATATATATCACAAAACCTATCCCAAGATACATTTATATAAAACATACTATATTGATTAAAACAATTTTCTTTAAAATTAATAAAAAATAAAATAAGCTTGTTCAAATTGTTTCATGTTTTCGTTTAGTTGTGCTTTCACTTTCTTTTAAAAGTTATAAAAGTTACTTTCCTTTTTAATTTGAAATGGGAGCATGTTCAAATCCCTTATACCTTGGTAAAAATGTACTTTTGTGAAACTTTTAACATGGGGTATATGAAAGTTCCCTACACTGTTTCTACTATTATAACAATGAACATCAGACTTTAAAGAAAAGGTATCATACATATAAGATGGACATTTTTATTAAATATTTTATGTTCATGATTGAGTCTTCATTGTATGACTCTATTTTCTATATAAAGCCACCCAATACTACTAAAATCAATAACTTTCAATGATTTTCTAGAGGAATAACCATGAATATAACGAACAACTTTGTTTTGTGCTACTTGAAGTTTATGTTTAAGTTGTTTAGTAAGGCCAATTTACCAAAATGAGCTGGCATAGTCAAAGTGACACTGTATTAAAGAGTTACATAAAAGTTTTCTTAGCTCCATATTCAAACTTTTGCCTTTGTCCATACAAAAGTTTTAATTGACAGTTTACTTTGTGTACCATATTATCAACAATATAAGTGGCTGAGAGATCATTATCCAAGATTGAACCGAGATACTTGACTGATGGCTGAGATTGTATGGTGTGATTATTACAGTGTATTTTAAACTGCCCAAGTTTAGACAATTTCCTCTTAGAACTAAAAACAATACACTCTGTTTTACCAAGATGTAATGATAGCTTATTATCAACAAGCTATTAACTATAATTTTCTAGTTCCTTACCCAAAACATTACAAATTACATCTGAATCTTTATGTGAATAAAAATTTCACTATCATCTGCATAAAGAATAAGCTTACATTGTTTTGCAAATACTAATACTCATATCATTGACATTACATAGAAACAATAGAGGACCTATTGTACTTCCCTGAGGAACACCACATGATATATTAATAGCTTCAGACATAGTATTATTTACATGTACAATTTGACAACGACCAGTTAAATAAGATTGAAAGCATTCTACTGACTCCACACCCATATTTTGTAACTTTCTACACAAGATGTCATGTTCCATAGTGCCAAACGCCTTTTGGTATCTAACATAATCACACCGATGAGCAGTCGTTTGGAAGTTTAACTTTTTACATGGTCAGTGAGATGGATAAGGCAAGAGTCAGTAGAATAATTACATCTAAAACCAATCTGTAATTCATATAAAAGTCCCTGCTTAACTAAAAAGATTCTAACTGATTATATACAGTTCTTTCTAAGATTTTTGAAACAATAGATAAAATACTGACAGGTCTATAGTTGGATACATTAGATCTGTTATTCCTTTTGAATAATGGTTTGACTTTAGCACATTTCAATTCACTTGGAACTGATTAAGATGTAATTGAATTATTTACTAAAGAGATAATATGTATCTTTAAAAGATGGTGCAGCATCTTTAAAAAAATTTGCTGGAATTTCATCTAATCCTGTGCTTTACGAACAATTTAATTTAAAAAGCTCTTTATATATATATAAATAAATTTGTGAGACATGATAACAGAGAACAAACTCTAAATATGCGAATGTTGAGCTTGTTTCAATGTGTAGTGCAGTTTGTGACTGTATATAAAGCTGTTCTGAAACCATCATTTTTGTGATGGTGGATGAGCAGTGGCTATGCTTTCATGACTGTTCTGCTAGGCGCTGTGCGTAATTGGACTGGCAATATCGATGTGGTGGTATGTGTGTATATCTTCTCTCATTTCTATAACAATTTATCTGCACACTTGTATCTCTTGAAAGGACCTAAATACAGAATTCCTTCTGAGATTGATTTTAATGCTTGTCATGTGGTCAGATTGCTGAATCTATAGAGGACTTTTCGGTCAAAATGGTGTCGCCGTGAAAATGCGGATAGTATAATGCTCTAGTTACATGGAAACGTAACATCTTTAAAATTAATGATTCACGTATTAATTTTTATCGTGGAAATAAACATCTTTTGCCACCTAAACCAAGACTTACTTTAAGACATCTGAAAAAAAATATTCTAGCTTTTTCATTCAAAATTTTGTTTTGGTGCCAGCGGACAAGGCGGCTAATAATATTATAATTGTTTGACGAATCCATTACATTAACGTTTTGCATAAGGAACTAAATAGCACTAAATGCGTATTCTAAAACCGTCTGCCTCCGAAAAAAGACATTGTAAAACAATCATATTAACTAATATTTCCAATCTTAAAGTCCAAATTAATGAAAAAGAACTCAAACTTCCTATTATGTATTGGATTCCTAAATTAAATAAAAAACCTTACAAAGCCAGATTTATTGCTAACTCTACATCTTGCACTGCAAGTAAACTTTTCTATTTTATTGAACGTCTTGTTTGACTGCCATTAAAACACATGTAATTAGATATTGTGATAAAGTCTATGAAAACACAGGCAAAACATCTCTTTTTGGTCAAATTAAAAAATTCTGGTGAAATCTTGGATAAATTCAAAATTAATAACTTTCAAGCTTCAAGTGTCAGTACATACGATTTTTCTACACTTTATAGCAACTTTGGCCACATAAATTAATCAATGATAACCCCTTATTTCCCTAATTCAGAAAACTTTGCACGGGAAAAAGTTACCTTTCTAGCAATGTAATTCTAACAAAGCTTTATTTACTACGGTATTGTTAAACATTATACTAATGTGGACCTGTGACGAAGTTTGTAGAGCACTCTCTTTTCGTTTAGACAACATTTATGTCAGGTTTGGTAATACCCTATTTAAACAGATCATAGGAATTCCTATGGGTACTAATTGTGGCACCCTGGTCGCCGATTTGTTTTTGTAACTGCTATGAAAGAGACTTAATATTGAGTCTCTCTGAAGAGAAACAACAATATGTTATAAGTCGCATTTAATAATACTTCCAGATACCTTGATGATATTTTTAATTTAGATAATCCTTATTTTGATCAATGGTGTCTGACATTTATCCGCATGAACTACAACTTAATAAAACGAACTCTTGAAATTTTAGTACATCATTTTTGGATCTTCATATTACTATCAATAACAATTCTATTCACAACGAAAAATTTATGATAAAAGAGATGACTTTGACTTTTTTATAGTTAATTATCCACATTTGGATGGAGACGTACCCCATGCAACATCCTACGGGGTTTATGTTTCTTCAGTTAATTAGATTCGCTAGAGCTTGTAACAACGTAAAGGATTTCAACGAGCGGAATATTTTTATTACCAGCAAGCTTCTAAAAACAGGGCTACCGCTATCATAAATTACGGAAATATTTTTACTAAATTTTACAATCGTAACTTTGATTTAATTTCTAAAATTCAATAGTGATTTAAAACTCTTCTGCGACAAGGGATTAGCCAGCCTGGTTTTTATGGCGATGTGGTTTACAAACTTCGTAAGATTTTGGGTATGGTAATTGTTTTCTGCTGTTTTTACTAAAATCATTAAACGTTTTATTAAAAGAGGTTATGACCCTACTATTTTAAGACATACTGCATGTTTAGTGTTCAACCCTTTTACAGTTGGACACTACGCTTTCCTCTTTTGATTGCATCTGACGGACCAAGTGGGAGACTCTATGATGGATAGTTCGTAAAGCCCTTTGGGACTGAATTGTCTTAATGTTTGTCTTCTGCCTTGCTTCGTCGGGCCCTTGTAGGTGATTTTCTTGTTGCTCTGTCTTCCTTTAGGACATTGAGTACTATTGTTATGGTCATTGGGTTTACATTTATATGTTTCTACATGATCATTTTAGTGTTTTACTTATTTAACCTTTTGTAACCATGACAACTGTTAGAATTTCACTTGGCGGGGTTTCATTTTATTTACACTGCCTCGTTTATAGGAACATGGTGGGGCTAAGAGCGAGGTTTTGTGCACCATTAACCGGTTTAAACTCCCCAGCAGTCATTATTATGCTGCTGACCGTTCAAAGGCGGCGCCCCACTGTGTTCCTCAGATGTATGTCTATGTTGTTTCATACTGTTTTGGTGACACTTTGGCTTGTGTCCCTTGTTGTTTTCTCGTCTACGGTAAGTATTTTCCCCTTTGCCTCTAGTTTTTATTTCTTTGATTAACCCCCTCCCCCCTTCCCCCGGTCTCCTGTCCCCTTCCCCTTTGTGGGCCTATTATTATTTTCTTTGAATTCCTAATCAGTTACAAATTATTTATCATTTAATGATTAACGTGTCGTTGCCCTGTCCTTTTTATGTTTGGGGTCCACCTGGGCTCCTTGCCATTGGTTCTTGTTGCTGGGTCATATGGGGGTTTGGTTCATTGAACGCCGCCTTTCCTTGTTGATCTTGTTTTTCATATTTTAAGTGATCCCACGCAGGGGAAAGTATAACTGTAT